TTTACTATCATAAAGTCTACTTGATTACAGGCCGTTGCAGTGCAGAGTGCCTCTTGACCTTCTGGTGGTCGAGTGAGTCTTCGTGGTCGAGTCCTTCAAGTCAGTCGAGTGTGTCCCTCGTTGATCGACTGGAAGACGACTTCTTCTAAGGGTGTCCTTGGGTAAGGTACTTAGATCAGGTCCATGACCCTGCCCTAGATACATAACCCCATCACACCGCACCCACGTACACAACACATGATGGGCACGCCAACAACTCCTCACGCATGGCATGGATTAGGCGCCCAGCTGAACCACCTGAATACATAACGTGCCCCTCCATCACCTGCAGCTAAGCCTGTCTTAACAAAGAGGCATAGCTGACGGATGATTATTATTCTAGTTATTAGTGCAGTATTATTATTGTACCGTTACCAGCCATGATCCGTTCGATCGTCAGGGTCTCTCGGCGATTGAGTATAGAGGGGCCGAATATGTATATTGATCTAATCTTGTTAATAATTACTCCTCGCTCCTATTAAAATTGTCGATCATTTGGGGGAGGGCAGGCCCCTGCTCGTCCTCCTGGCTCCGTCCCTGGATGCAAGACCACGGGATCTGGTGCTACAGGTGCTTCGTTGAATCTGTAAAACTGTATGACTGTGTTGCTACGCTAGCGGTACCATGGTGCAAAACCTGCTTCCACGAGGCCGTCCGCTTTGAGCCATATATGGCCTCTGGTGCGTGCGGCGGTTGGGACCTGCCGGATCGGGAGATGCACAAACCGGTTGGCATCGCGGCCGAGTGGGGCGCGACGCGGCGTGCACCGGCCGACTGACTCGGCTTTTGGGCGATCGGTGCATGTCCGTCCTCCTCGTCTTGCTTTCACTTCACTTGCCGTGCTGGGTTGTTCAGAAAACAAGTGTCTGCACGCGACCGACCACCGTTAGAGCAATTTTAATGGGCCGATCTAAACGGACGGTGATTTTGTTTGCTTGGGTTGGCCAAACGGATACGGACGTCTGCTTTCGCGTTTGGGTCGACGTACGCTCGCCCGATCCATTTTGACGGCGCCGACAAAAGTATTAATAATTGTGCATGCATATTTAAAATAAAAATAATTTAATTAAACATTTAAAGCCGGCCAGGAAGGCCCGCGAGAGTCCACGCATCCACATCCACATTAACATCTAAGTGGCTCAATCAAACTAGAAAGGAAAGAAAAAAGAGGAAAGAAAATATTTACACAAATCTCTGTGTAAAATTAAGGACATGGGACTTAGATGTGCAATACTTATGGCACATCTAGATGTGCTTTAGCAAAACTGTTAAAAAAACTAAAAACAAACTAAACTACGAGGCGGCGCGCTGCCCTAGGCCCCGTTGTCGTCGTCGTTCTCGGGGTCGGTGAGGTCGACGAGTGTCGGCGCAGAGCCGGCCCAGGGGAACGCCGTGTTCCAGGCGGCGGCGATGTCGGCCGCGGGCAGCTGTGCCGACGCGGGGGCATGTGCGGCCGCCTGTACAGCCGCGGCCTGGCGCGCCTCCTCCTCAGCCTCGCGCTTCTCCTCCTCAAGGTCGCGCTCGAGCATCTCCTCGTACTCACCGTGACGACACTTCTCGGCCAGCCATCGCTGGCGCCACATCTCGAGGTACGCCGCCTCCTGCGCCGGCGTCGCCCCCATCCAAACCGGTGGCGCGGAGGCCCATTCACGCAGTACTCCCGTCCAGGAGTAGCGCTCGACGCGGGACGGCTCCGGCTCCGACTCGGGCTCGGCCTTGGCGCGGTGTCAGGGAGGGGGCGGCGGGGCCACCGGCGGCAGCATGCAGTCGCCCGCCGCGGAGAGGGCAATGGCCTGCGCCATGGCCGCCTCGTACCTAGCCTCCTCCTCCTCCATCGCCTCCACCCTCCGCCGCTCGTCCTCCTCGCTCTCGCGGTCCGCCGCAAGGGCCGCCTGGTCCTCCTCGCGAACGTTGAACAGGGGTGGCGGCACGCTGCGGTCGACCTCGCGCACGCCGCTTCGCCTCGCCTCCTCGTGCTCGAAGGCGAACCATCTCTTCCAGTTCGGCGAGTCGGATGCGTAGGCGGCGTCGCGGCGCTGCTCCGGTGTCAGCAACGCCGCACCTCCTCCGCGTGCGCCTTAGCCGACCGCGGCGGCGCCGGCACTGGGCTCCTCTCTGGATCCAGATGCCAGTCATGCGGCAGAGTGGCGCCGGGGTACAGCAGAGGCACGCGGTGCTGCCAGTGCCACTCCGCCTGGTGCACTGGCACGTCCACGCGTTGCCTCTACCGGTGAGCCGGCGCCAGCGAAGGCGGGAGGAACTCCGAGGGGAAAAGGACGGCGAGGCGATTTGTGGTCAGGCTGCTATGCAGGCTTAGTCTCTCCGAGATGCTCGCAGGGACACGGCGTCCGTGCGTGCGTTCATGCGGGATGAGCGTATGCTCGTGTATGTGGGCAGCTTTGATTGTACTCCCTCCATTCCAAAATATAGTGCGCCCACGCTTCCCGAGGTCCAACTTTGACTATAAATTTAACCAACAAGACCAACTGCGGTGGGAGAAAAAAATATATAATTGAAAACTTCTTTTGAATACGAATTCACTGATATAATTTTTGCTCCCGTCGCAATCGGTCTTGGTAGTTAAATTTGCGGTCAAAGTTGAAGCACGAGGATAAAGGAAGCACTACATTATGGAATGGAGGGAGTAGCGTTTTATAAATAAAAAGAAATAAAAAGCGGCGGCCGCCTTGGGCTCCTACGACGCGACCACGTCCGAGACACGAGGGATGGGTTCCGCGGCTTGTGTCGGACGCGACGGGTCAGTGCCGGGACTACACGGACGTCCATCGGACGCGACGGGTCAGTACCGTGTCCCGTCCGCCGTCGCCTCTTCCCTTCGCTTGCACACCACACCACACCACACCCACGAACCACGCGCGCGCGCGTCGACCCACCCCACCCCACCAACCCGTTTCCTTCTGCGGGGTACCCACACGCCCACCGCTCCCGCGACCGTATCGTCGTCGACTGGCGCAGCCTCCGCGACGCGGCGCGCCCGCACGTTTGCCAGGTGTTGCTCGCCGGTCCGGTCCGTTCCGGGGCGGCAGGCAGGCGACGATACGTGCACCCGACGATATTTTTCTAACCAGCATGTGGATGGTATTCTTTACTTTTATACGGGATGACATGGGCCATGGCGGGCCGAAGCTTATAGCTAACCAAACTCAACCTCCCCTGATCTGAATTTAACCACCCCTTAACCAATGGAGCCTTTTCTTAACTATAAACCTTTTTTGTGCGTCAAGACAACCATGCCTTTGGAGGGAAAAGCACGGGCAGACAAGTGCATTGTCCATATGACGACGTATATTATGTGATCTAGCTCGCCCACTCTCGGACCATCTTTCCATTTAGCCGAGGAGTGGTTTGAGACTAACAAAACTTCCGAGAAAACTTTCGATCTATTCATCAATATTCAAGGTAGTACCAAAACATCCGAAGTGAAAAATACATACAAGCCAGTAGACCACTTAGTGATGACTACAAGCATTGGAGCGATCCGAAGACGCGCCACCGTCATCGTCCCTCCCTCCGTTGATAAAGGCCGGGAACCACCATGCCTCTGTGGTCCAAGGACCATAGGCGACGAGGCGGACTGGCGCTGACGCCGGCAAGAGGCAGTGAAACCCTAGCCGAGCGCCTTGGTCGCAGGAGCGGAGGGGTTTAGCGTCGTTTAAAAAAATAATACAAAGTATTTTAAATATATCATACTACCCTTTAAAAAATACTATCTAAATGCATATGATACAATGCATTAAGAAAATTGTATCTAAGTTTTAAACACATATTTAATGCATTAGATATACAATACTAAAATACTACCCTTTTACAAAGATACCATCTAAATGCATACGATAAAATGCATCGAGAAAATTGTATCTAAGTTTTAAACACATGTTTAATGCATTAGATATACAATACTAAAATACTACCCTTTTTACAAAGATACTATCTAAATGCATATGATACAATGTATCAATAAAATTAAACACATATTTAATGCATTAGGGGTACAATACTGAAATAACAACCCCTCGCAAAAAAAAGAAAACTAAAATAGCACCCATTAAAATAGTCTCTATCGAATGCAATGGGAGTGTTCTTATTTTCCCGCTTGCTACAGAAAACAAATGTGAATTTTCCAGTGTCATGTTTCTCCAACAGCCACCACATAGTTGGATACGTATACGTTATTTTATTTGTCCATGACTTGATTTTAAATATACTTTTCTTCGGATAAACCTAGAAGTTGAGGTGCGACACAAAAATTATATACTTCCTCCATCCAGGTTCATTAGCCCTTCACATTCTAGATCAAAATTTAACCATACATATGACTAACAAAAATATGAGATATATCTATAAAATATACGTCGTTGGATTTGTATTCAAAAAAGGTTTTACATGGTATAACTTGCATGACATATAGCTCGTATTTTTTAAGTTAAATTTATAGTCAAGCTTTGACCCAAAATAAAAGGGGCCAAATAAACCTGAACGGAGGAAGTAAATGCCGTTGAAATAGAACCACCGTAATCTACCGCACACCAAACGCAGTCCCGAAAATGTATTATCGGGTCCATACCCCCATATCAAAATCCGCAAAATTAGATAAAACAAATCCCTTATGCTCATATTTCAAATTGGGAGATGTCAAAGCTCATTTCCAACGTAGTAATCTTGGACCGCATGCTGACTTCCACACCGAACACGAAAACCAAGTCAAACCGAAACTGCGAGCCTCCCTCGAGGGACCACATTGCAAAAAATAACACTACGTAACATTTTCAGAAACCCCTCTCTGTTGCCTAAATAAAAATCATTTCGGTCCTTCCCCTTCGCCTTTCCCCAAGTTTATAAACCAGCCCCACCCCCTGTCTCCTTCCTCCGGTCTCCCTTCCCCTTCCGACGAAAATATTCCCACCTCTGTCGCCCGCCCGCCTCCCCTGCCTCTGACAGCCATGGCCCACCTCCAGCTCGCGGCGGTCGCCGGGGGCGGCCGCGCGGGCGACGACATGGAGGACGTGGCGCTGCTGGGATCCTACGACGAGGAGATGGGCGGAGCGGCGCCGGCGGGAGGCGGCGCGGAGGAGGACGAGGAGGAGGCGGAGGCGCACGTGCGGGTGACGGGCATGACGTGCTCCGCCTGCACCGGCGCCGTCGAGGCCGCCGTCTCCGCCCGCCGCGGCGTGCGGCGCGTCGCCGTCTCGCTGCTCCAGAACCGCGCCCGCGTCGTCTTCGACCCCGCGCTCGTCAAGGTGAGATGGCGTCCCGTGACCCTTGCGTGTTTGCGCCTCTCTCCGGGCCATTCCGGAGCTCGTCTATGCATTTGGGGGCGGTAATTTTGCGCGGACAAAATAGCTGCGCCTGCGACGTTTTTTTTTTTGGGTCAGAAAAAACAGTAAAATGGACCGCGTCTTTTGAGGCTTCCCATTATCGCGAAAGGCCCGGGGAGTTGGTGCGCTTGCTCCACGAAGCTCGCTTCCACTTCATGCGATTGGGTGAATTGGGCTTGCAATTTTTGGTTTTAGTACTGTACAAGTATAGACGTGAGAACTGAATTCGTGGGGTTGTCTGTCGGGTCGGAAATACGCCGTCAGTTAAATGCGGTGCTGTACGCCTGGGAATCAGATTGCCGGATCGGTCGATCGCCGGTGGCTGATGATTCGAGCCCCTTTTGCTTTCGGGGTTGGTGAGCTGTAGCCTTTGTTGGAGGCTCGTGGTCGCTGGTGGATGGATCGTGGATCGCGGGATTTCGGGGGGTGGAGCGTGGCGCCGCAGTAGCTTTTGGTTGGTTGGTGAGCTGATGGGGGAGCTGCAGGCCCTGCAGCTGCTGAATCGTATTTTTCGGTGGAAAGTCTAAAAGAGGTGCTGAGCTGACGGTTGACATTGCAGATTGCACGGCTCAGGCAACGTGATATGGAGATTGGTTTCAAAACACTAAACTAGTAAACTGTGTGACAAACTTTTACTACCATTTTGCCATGTACTTGCTGGAAAATGGCAATGAGATGGTAAGTTTGTACTCACCGTACTGATGTCGTCTGGGTCGTATGGAACTTTTAGCTTGTTTTGCAACAGCTTTAAAAACTGCGATCACAGCTTATTAGTTATACTTGTGTTTTGAATATTTTTTCCCCCACCATGAGCAGTGAGCCGCCCCTTTTGACCATTTGCTTTCTGGCTGGAATCTTGCCGTTTAGCTTCAGATTATGAATATAATTAGCTTGGAATGATTCCTCAGAGAAGGGTGACCAACCTTTCCCCACCGTTGGCCGTAAAAAGACAAGCTCGGGCAATCATACGAGCTGTTTGATCCCTCTTTTCCCCTTCTCTAGAATGGTTCAACTTCAGTTTGTATACTAATCCTTGTATGTCAAGTTCTGCTCCAGTTTAGATGACTGATTCCATAGTGATACATATTGGCTCGAGATCTTTTGGCATATTTGGGTCACTTTGTTAACTGCAATTTTATTTTGGGACTTCTCTGTGCAGGTCGAGGATATAATAGAAGCTATAGAAGATGCTGGATTTGACGCTGAAATTCTCCCAGATTCTGCAGTCCCTCAACCTAAGTCACAGAAGACATTGTCAGCACAATTTAGGATAGGAGGAATGACATGTGCTAATTGTGTAAACTCAGTTGAGGGTATCTTAAGGAAACAACCGGGTATAAAAGGAGCAGTCGTTGCCCTGGCAACGTCATTAGGAGAAGTTGAGTATGATCCGTCTACCATTAGCAAGGATGAAATTGTTCAGGCTATCGAGGATGCTGGTTTTGAAGCTGCATTCTTACAGAGTAGCGAGCAAGATAAGATATTGCTAGGTCTGACTGGCGTGCACACAGAGAGGGATGCAGATGTACTACATGACATCCTTAAGAAAATGGATGGTTTGCGACAGTTTGCTGTAAATACTACCCTCTCAGAAGTTGAGATTGTATTTGATCCAGAAGCTGTTGGTCTGCGATCAATTGTGGATGCTATTGAAATGGGAAGCAATGGGAGATTCAAATCACACGTGCAGAATCCTTACAGTAGAGGGGCTTCGAATGACGCACATGAGGCCTCCAAAATGCTCCATCTTCTCCGCTCTAGCTTATTCCTAAGTGTAAGTTCTGATCTTTGCTTCTCTCTTGCTCACCCTAGACAGTTTTGCTCAAAGGTTCAAGTATAATACATGTGCTGTGATTATAGTGCTGTCGGCATAGTTGATAGTTGTATTTGGCAAGACAACTTACAGTACAATAGGGAATGTATGATATGTTGGCAACAGGTAGCATATAAATGACACTCACATATTATTGTCATCGTGTGGCATCTTCTAACTAACGAAAGAAATATTTTAGTTTCACTGTTCTTTTTGCTTACATGTGAAACCCAACAAGATAAGATGAAATAAGAGAGCAATATTGTTCAATTTCAATGTTTGAGCAAGTAATAAACGAGAACACAGACATCTTACATGGTATTCACATCAAATCTGGCAATTGACTAAACAGTAGAGGTATTGTAGAAAACAAATAAAATGCAGGGTCGTCTACTTTTCTAAAATAATTTACCACGAGTAGATGTAGGGATATTTGGTATTTTTGCCTAGTAATATATTTTGTTTGCTTCCTACTGTTCAGAATACACCGAACTTTTGCTATGCTACTACTTGCTTACTGACTCAATTCAATTGCCTCTTTGCAACAGATTCCTGTATTTTTCATACGTATGATCTGCCCGAGTATACCTTTCATCAGTACATTGCTTCTCAGGCACTGTGGACCATTTCATATGGGGGATTTGGTGAACTGGATATTGGTTAGCATTGTACAGTTCGTTATTGGCAAGAGATTCTATGTTGCTGCTTACAGAGCCTTAAGACATGGTTCTACAAATATGGATGTGTTAGTTGTTCTTGGCACCACTGCATCATATGTATATTCCGTTTGTGCACTACTATACGGAGCATTCACTGGATTTCAACCTCCCATATATTTTGAGACCAGTGCAATGATAATTACGTTTGTGCTATTTGGGAAGTATCTCGAGGTTCTTGCAAAGGGGAAAACATCAGATGCTATTAAAAAGCTTGTAGAACTTGTCCCTGCTACTGCTATTTTGCTTCTGAAAGATAAAGGTAAGTTTTACACACACATAACTGTTGTACTCAAATGCAGTTCGTCTAAAACTGCAAGCAAACTGACATTACTATTTCAAATTCAGAAGGAAAATATGTTGGGGAGAGGGAGATTGATGCTCTGTTAGTCCAACCTGGTGATGTCTTGAAAGTTCTTCCTGGTTCGAAAGTTCCTTCTGATGGTGTTGTTGTTTGGGGAACAAGCCATATCAATGAAAGTATGATAACTGGTGAATCTGCACCGATGCCTAAAGAAGTATCAAGTGTAGTAATTGGAGGGACAATCAACTTACAGGGCATCCTTCATATACAAGCAACGAAAGTAGGATCCGGAACAGTTTTGAGTCAGATAATATCTCTGGTTGAAACTGCTCAAATGTCCAAAGCCCCTATTCAGAAATTCGCCGATTATGTAAGTTTTTTTTTGTGTGTGATATCCCATATTCGCTTTGTCACTATGTATCAAATATCTCTGTCAACCATGCACCTTTGCTAAAATCATTTTAGATCCCAAAGCATTGTCTGCGATAATGTGCTGTTTGCCACATTTGAAATGATGCATATGGACATTGTTTTTATGCCATTTTTTGTATTTTAATGCCTCTTACAGGACAGCACTTTACTCTTTTATGTTGTCTGAACTCTGAAGTACATGTTCATTTCACACGTTGCCTTCTGGTCCTCTTATTATTTTAATGTTGCGCGAAGTGCATGTTCATTTCACACATTGCTTTCTGCTCCTTTTGTTATTTGAACCTATTAACTTTTAGTAAAACTTTCGGAGGATTAGCTTACTTCTGAATTAGCTGCGTGTTCACCAAAAGCATTGCAACGTATTGTAGATGCCTATTTTGGTTGGTGCTGACATTCCACTGTTCCATTTTCAGGTGGCTAGCATTTTTGTTCCAATTGTCATCAGCTTGTCCATTCTAACATTCTCCGTGTGGTGAGTTAAATAAACATTGTACAAAATTCATAAATAATGCTTCGTTCAAGTTTCTCACTTGTGGATTGTCTACTTTTGTAGGTTCTTATGTGGATCGTTGGGAGCATATCCACATTCATGGTTTGACGGAACTAGCAATTGCTTCGTTTTCTCCCTCATGTTCTCCATATCTGTTGTGGTGATTGCTTGTCCTTGTGCCCTTGGTTTGGCAACCCCAACTGCTGTAATGGTGGCAACTGGAATCGGGGCTAATCATGGAGTACTTGTAAAAGGTGGAGATGCATTGGAGAGGGCTCAAAATGTAAATTACGTGATCTTTGATAAAACAGGGACACTAACACAAGGAAAGGCTGTTGTTACAACTGCAAAGGTTTTCTCTGGAATGGACCTAGGAGATTTCCTCACACTAGTAGCATCTGCAGAGGTGAGGCAATCAATCTTGATCACAAATAACTCTTATGGTTCATATCAGTATGTGGTAAAAACATGTTATGGTTTGCTCCTTGCTCAGGCAGGATATTTTCTACTTTCTGCCTGCATATCCATATATGATAAAGGGAAAAAAAATGTAAGTTGAAAAATATTTATGTTTTTGTTTTGTACACAGGCAAGCAGTGAGCATCCTCTTGCAAAGGCTGTATTGGAATATGCATTTCATTTCCATTTCTTTGGCAAGCTCCCTTCGTCAAAGGATGGCATTGAGCAAAGAAAAGAGCAGATACTGTCCCAATGGTTGCTTGAAGCTGAAGATTTCTCTGCTGTGCCTGGCAAAGGAGTTCAGTGTTTGATCAACGAGAAGAAAGTTTTGGTGAGTCATAAGCTGCCATTTATCCTTCACCCCTTCTGTACAATACCTCAAAGCAGTGTGCAACTGTAGCATATGTATTTATAAATCTTTCGAAGTAAATTGCTGATTATCTGTAATAAAAATGTCACTGCAGATTGGAAACCGTGCCTTATTGAACGAAAATGGGGTGAGCGTTCCCCCGGAAGCTGAAAGTTTCTTGGTAGACCTGGAACTGAATGCAAAAACAGGCGTTCTGGTGGCATATGACAGCAGTTTCGTGGGGTTGATGGGGATTGCCGATCCCCTGAAAAGAGAGGCCGCTGTAGTCGTGGAAGGACTGAAGAAGATGGGCATTCATCCAGTGATGCTCACAGGTGACAACTGGAGGACTGCACAAGCTGTCGCGAAAGAGGTTCGCATCAGATTTGCTTCTGAATTCTGATCACCCATTAAGTCTATTCTTACCACCTCAGGTGCCTAACTGTTTACACTGGGTTATTGTCACTTGGCAGGTTGGCATTGAGGATGTGAGAGCAGAGGTCATGCCTGCCGGGAAAGCCGACGTGGTCCGGTCGCTCCAGAAGGACGGGAGCATAGTGGCCATGGTCGGGGACGGCATCAACGACTCCCCGGCCCTCGCGGCGGCGGACGTCGGGATGGCCATCGGGGGCGGCACGGACATCGCCATCGAGGCGGCCGACTACGTGCTGGTGAGGAACAACCTGGAGGACGTGATCACGGCCATCGACCTCTCGAGGAAGACCTTCAACCGGATCCGCTGGAACTACTTCTTCGCCATGGCGTACAACGTGGTGGCCATACCGGTGGCGGCCGGCGCGCTGTTCCCGCTGACGGGGCTCCAGATGCCGCCGTGGCTGGCGGGCGCCTGCATGGCCTTCTCGTCTGTCAGCGTGGTGTGCTCCTCGCTGCTGCTGCGGAGATACAGAAAACCCAGACTCACCACCGTGCTCCAGATAACTGTAGAGTAGAGCCATGGCTTTTGTGAATACTGTAACTGTAAGTCCCCTTCACCATTTTTACAGAAATGAAATGAAAAGAAAGAAAATGGTTTCCTGTGTACTCCATTGCTCACGGCTGCGGTGAATTACTTTTCTGCTTCTTCGTAAACGGCCAGGGAATGCCATGAATCCAGGTTCAGTGGTTCTCCTGATTCGGTGCAGCACCAGTTTTTGCTGGTGCACCGGCTTCAATCGCAATTCCCGATCACTTGCAAATGGGTCTAACATGATATCAACAACAATTTGTTTCCCCTTTTGTTTGTCCTTACTTATTTTTTCTGAGATAAGCTTGTCCTTATTTTTTTTGTTTGCGTCTCGCCATGTGCTCGTCCTTGTCGGGCTGCCTAGGTATTCGTCCTGCTGTCTGGGTGAATGGGAGGCTGATTTTAGCAATGCTTTTGAACAGCATTCCTCTACCGTTGCCGATGCTAGTCCCTTGCTATTGCTGCTAGTCGTACTACTACACTACACTACACAACAGCTCGCTTCCCTTTCTGCTGTTGCTGCTAATCGTACAACTACAGTACTACAGCTCGCGTCCCTAATCTTCTTACGCAGAGATCTTTTACTATACCCTGAAATGAATAGACACCGTTTGTTTTCCTCAATCCAACGGTTTGCGCGATTTGGTACTCCAGCATCAGTCCGCCGGAGTACTAACCCGGAAACAGGTGGAGTACCTCCGTTTGAGGGGCAAAAGGGTAATCGCCAGCTTTGTTTATGATTTTCTTGCGAGGAGTATTTCAGTATTTCATTTTTCTTTTCTGTTTTCTCCCGGCTGGAAATGAAGGACCTGACCTAAACATTGCCCTAACCCTAGTAGCCTTCCTGCCCGTCCCCTTGTACTCCCTCCGTCCGGAAAAGCTTGTCCCCCAAATAGATGTATCTATCACCAAGTTAGTGCTAGATACATCCATTTGAGTGTCAGCTTGGGACAAGCTTTTTCGGACGGAGGGAGTATCCACCTGCGGCGGCCTCTGCCCCGCCCAAAAAGCGGCCAATGACGCGGGGTGCGCCTCGCCTTCTCCACCTCTGGCGACATCATCTTCAACGGCGGCCATGGCGGCCATAGTTGGCGAGGCACACGTGGCGTGGCGCGGATCGGCGCCCATGGCAGCCAGCGTTGGCGAGGCGCACGCCTACCGGCTCGTCCCTACTCCTCCATCTCCGCTCGTCGAGCAGCTGCTCTATCCAGGGCGTGCCCCACATACGGGTAGTAGAGCCGGCCGGAGAGGGGATTTGTACTGTACCCAGGCGCTGACTGTACGTGTGGATGGTCGATAAACTGGGTTTTTCTGTCGAGATGTCGGATGAATATGTCGTAAGATCAGTGAGCCCTTCCTATTATTTTGGTACTTGCTTTTGCTTTTCTCTGTATTGGTTCAGGACATATATATGAATGGACACCACTAGGCATCAAGTATGGAGAAGAGAAAATTATGCAGTGGAGTGCATGATCATGAATAAGCAAACCAGCTGACAAACTGTTCTGGATCAAATCAGTTACTCTGTAATAGATTATAATGTTGTGTTCTCGGAAAGATACCATGTGAAACAATTTTCTCTAACATGGCAATGTTTCAAAATATGTTTTGTCCATCATTTTTTTAGTTCTAATGGATATGTGTCCATCATTTTTTCGAATTTATGTTCTTATTCCATCCTACATGGCCTAGCTTTAATTATAACAAAAGTTTGGGTAATTGTGATTATTGGAAACCAAAAAAAAGGTGTCACATTGTTCCTTGTACATGACAGATAATCTACATGTCCTAGCTTAATTCAGAGGAGTTATGTAAACAACAATTATTGGAAACAAAAAATCACTTGAATCTATGTTCGTTATCCACCCTTGTATTGTTCCCTATACAACATGGAGATGTACACGTCCTAGTTTTAAGTAAGAAAAGTTTGGGTGATGATGATTGACTAACGTGAACCTTGATTCTTTCATCAGGTTGTGGACTTGTGGCGATCCTAGCGATGTCATTGAAGATTTATTTTTATGAAAGAATTTTTTCATTCGGTTGTGGCGATGCCATTGTAGATTTTCTTTTATGTAGGGAAATAGCTGGGTTTCTCCATAAATGTCCAAGTAACACATTGACGACAGATGGATATGGAGTGTTGTTGCTAGGCTATCGGACGAATGTTGTTCAAATCTCAGTTTTATTGTGCGGATGTTTTTTTCCATAACACATAATGCCATCTGAAACACCATCCGCAACGTATAAAACCATATCTATTTCTGAACTAAACAAAGCAAATGTTCTTGTAAACAAATAAAAAACATATATCTTCATTGGTACAGTATGATTTGACCACAAATATCACACTGAGTCGTTCAGAGACAACTAAGCCTTTCCGGTCCACTTTGAGTAATTTGGATCCACATGTATAAATATGAGTCTTCTGGTCCGACATGTACCACTGCAAGGTTGGTATCTAGACACATAAGTAGAAGTATGAGTCGTTTTCCCATCATGTATCACTATGAGTCATCCGGACCCACACATAGAACTTCCGAGTTAACAAGGCCCATAAGCTGGAGTTGTTTCGCCCTGCAGGTACCACTTCAAGTCATCTAGCCCTTAGAAGTACTAGTATGAGTCCCGAATATAGAAGTACAAATCCAAGTCATCTGGGCCCACAACAAGTACGGGCATGAGTTGTTATACCTCACATGTACAATTTTGAGTCATCGGGATCTACAAGTGTCGGTACGACTCTTCTAGCACCACAAGTATCGCTCCAAATCATCCGGTCCCCCATAAGTACTAGCATGAGTCTTCCGGACCCAGAGGTACTAGTATGAGTTGTTTGGATCCACATCTACCACTTCTAGTCATTTGGACCTATATGTACCTCTTTGAGTCATCTGAGCCCACATGCAACAATATGACTTATTCTGCCCCACATGTACCGCTATGAGTCATTTGGACCAACAAGTACCAATGCATGTATTTCAGGCCTATAAGTACCCCTCTGAGTTAACCGGACCCAACAGTTGGAGTCGTTTGGCCCAGCGAGTACCACTTCAAGTCATTTGGACCCAAAAGTCTAGTATGAGTCGTTTGGATCTAGAAGTACCACTCTGAGTCATCAGGACTCACAAGTATCAGTATGAGTTTTCTGGCCCCACAAGTACCACTCCGAGTCATACGGGCCCGCCCCATAAGTACTAGTATGACTCGTTTGGATCCACATGTACCACTCCAAGTTGTTTGGGCCCATACGTACCACTCCAGGTCATCTGGGCCCATAAGTACTAGTATGAGTTGTTTCGCCCCACATGTGAAGGAAATATGCTCTAGAGGCAATAATAAAGTTATTATTTATTTCCTTATATCATGATAAATGTTTATTATTCATGCTAGAATTGTATTAACCGGAAATATGATACATGTGTGAATAGATAGACAAACAGAGTGTCACTAGTATGCCTCTACTAGACTAGCTCGTTGATCAAAGATGGTTATGTTTCCTAGCCATAGACATGAGTTGTCATTTGATCAACGGGGTCACATCATTAGGAGAATGATGTGATTGACTTGACCCATTCTATTAGCTTAGCACTTGATCGTTTAGTATGTTGCTATTGCTTTCTTCATGACTTATACATGTTCCTATGACTATGAGATTATGCAACTCCCGTTTACCGGAGGAACACTTTGTGTGCTACCGAACGTCACAACGTAACTGGGTGATTATAAAGGTGCTCTACAGGTGTCTCCAAAGGTACTTGTTGGGTTGGCATATTTCGAGATTAGGATTTGTCACTCCGATTGTCGGAGAGGTATCTCTGGGCCCACTCGGTAATGCACATCACTATAAGCCTTGCAAGCATTGTAACTAATGAGTTAGTTGTGGAATGATGTATTATGAAATGAGTAAAGAGACTTGCTGGTAACGAGATTGAACTAGGTATTGAGATACCGATGATCGAATCTCGGGCAAGTAACATACCGATGACAAAGGGAACAACGTATGTTGTTATGCGGTTTGACTGATAAAGATCTTCGTAGAATATGTGGGAGCCAATATGAGCATCCAGGTTCCGCTATTGGTTATTGACCAGAGACGTGTCTCCGTCATGTCTACGTAGTTCTCGAACCCGTAGGGTCCGCATGCTTAAAGTTCGGTGACGATCGTATTATGAGTTTTTGTGTTTTGATGTACCGAAGGTAGTTCGGAGTTCCGGATATGAGCACGGACATGACGAGGAGTCTCGAAATGGTCGAGACATAAAGGCCGATATATTGGACGACTATATTTGGATACCGGAATGGTTCCGGGTGAGATCGGGAATATACCGGAGCACCGAGAGGTTATCGGAACCCCCCCGGGAGGTATATTGGCCTTATTGGGCTTTAGTGGAAAGGAGGGGAAAGGAGCAAGGGAGGTGGCGCCCCCAAGCCCAATCCGAATTGGGAGGGGGGCCGGCTCCCCCTTTCCTTCCTCCCTCCTTCCTCTTCCTTCCCTCTCCTACTCCAAGTTGGAAAGGGGGGAATCCTACTCCCGGTGGGAGTAGGACTCCCCATGGCGCGCCCTAGAGAGGGTCGGCCCTTCCCTCCTCTACTCCTTTATATACGGGGGCAGGGGGGGCACCTCTAGACACACAAGTTGATCATTGATCCCTTAGCCATGTGCGGTGCCCCCTCCACCATAATCCACCTCGATTATATCGTAGCGGTGCTTAGACGAAGCCCTGCGTCGGTAGCATCATCATCACCGTCACCACGCCATCGTGCTGATGAAACTCTCCCGTGAAGCTTTGCTGGATCGGAGCTCGCGGGACGTCATCGAGTCGAACGTGTGCAGATGTGACGCCCCGAGACCATTGCGCCAGGTGTCCTCCAGTTATTCGCTGTCGTTGCCGTGTCATTCGCTTGCGTGCTGCATCTTGTCATGTCATCATGTGCATTGCATCGTGGGCGTTACAAGTTGGTATCAGAGCCAAGTTTCGATCT